CCAAGCACAGCCCCGTCCCCCACCCCTCTCCCCAACCCACCGCACACACACACATACAAATGTTTGCGACTTTCATTTCGAACACATTCATTTTCCCCACAAGCTGATCTACAATATCATTTGCGAGTAAATTTATAAGAATTTAAGAAAGAGTTAAATTATCTTTTAAAATCATATTTTGAAGTAATTACAATTGTTTGTTTGTTTATTTGTTAGGTTTTATTTGTTATAATTTTTTTTTAATTGTATTTGTTTTGCCACATTGTAGTGTTGATACTCAGCATGGTAATAAATAAATGCAAGCTTGATTTAGGCTCTACCTTAGTACTGTAAACCTTGTCTATTTGTGTCTCGTTCTATCTTACTAGGCGCTGCTGGTGGTGAGGGCATCTAAATGTCTCGACCTTTGACACCTGACCTCTGACCCACCTCGCTCAACTGATCGATAACGATGTCCCAAAGCAGATATTTTTGTAGGAAATCATGTTAATGATGGTTTTCATCTCATGCAATATATGGCAGCAGCCGTCAGCGATATACTGGTCTATTTATTTGTAAATCTTTACTATGGCAAGAAATAGAAATAAAAATGTGGAATCATGACCCGAGCAAACACTGTATTCGATATATCATTCTTACGTGCTTATTACATTCTTTTTTCAGTGGATTCCTAAGAGATTCTGCATGTTTGAGTATTGTTATAAGAAAGAGAGAGAGGGAGAGAGAGAGAGAGAGAGAGAGAGAGAGAGAGAGAGAAAGAGAATGGGGAAAGAAAAAATATAGTGATTGGTGATTAAAGAGAGGGACGGGTGGAAGGAGAAAGACAGGCACAGAGAGAGTGAGAGAGAGAGAGAGAGAGAGAGAGAGAGAGAGAGAGAGGGAGAGAGAGAGAGGGATATATATATATATATATATATATATATATATATATATATATATATATATACAAGAGAGAGAGAAAGAGAGAGAGAGAGAGAGGGATATATATATATATATATATATATATATATATATATATATATATATATATATATATACAAGAGAGAGAGAGAGAAAGAGGGAGAGAGAGAGAGGGATATATATACAAGCGAGAGAGAGAGAGAGAGAGAGAGAGAGAGAGAGAGAGAAAGAGAGAGGGAGAGAGGGATATATATACAAGAGCGAGAGAAAGAGAAAGATATTCCATGGGAATCACAGGTATGACAGGATCCGCATTACGTTTTTTGTATGGGAGAAGAGGTTCGTTGAACATGCGAACTTATTTTTCTACGATTTTATTTCTGGTGTTCCCTTTTCAGATGTTCTCTATCCGTCATTGTTATTAGGTGAGAATGAAATAAATATGAATGCCCAATTCATCAAATTAATTTAAAATCACTGATGGCACGACATCGTTTTACATGGCACGGATCCGAAGTTCGACAATATAGTTTGTTGACTTCATGCCAAGCATTTTTTTGTTAAGGTTTACTTTTTATATTCTAGCCATGCGAAATATATGACTCAGAAGGGTCTTTCCTATAATGGTATAATATATATTATATACTTTGAGTAGTGTCCAAGGAAGAAGAATCTAGGAGAATTAAAACAGAAATTTATATTTTTGTACACGACAAACGGGAGAGTTGTCCGTGACTACGTCACAATACACGTATATATTGATGTTATTATTTCTAACATTCATAGTTCTCTTATTATTAACCCGATTTATTTCAGACCTATACCATTCTGTCTTTCTCATTTTTCTGCTTACAAAAAGTAACATACTTCGAAGGTCGGTTCGGCCTCATAAAAAAGGGTACAGTCAGGCAGACGCAAACAATGGCAGAGGTTTCCATGGTACCAACCAAGCCATTCAGTCTCGCATTGGGAATGTTTGCTTTTCTTTTCGCCGTGTTCATCATCGAAGGAATTGAATAAAAGAAGAATAAATGTTTGTTGTCAGGTTTTGAATTGTTTGAAAAGTAAACGTCCCATTAGTTTCTCAGCCAAAGTCCTGAGTTTGTAACACGTTTTAGCCATCAATCACCCAGGCGTCTATTCATCCTGTTGACATCGAAAGAAATGAATAAACGAAAAATGAATGTTTATTGTCGGGTTTTGAATTGTTTGAGAAGTAAACGTCCCACATATATACATGAGCTGCTCTGTCGATCTCATGAGACGTGCACCTTCATATCTGTAGTTTGCACGGGAAGTTGCTCCACGCGTATGTCGACTTTCCGTGCAACCTAGAGGACTATATTCCGCGCGTTTCGAGGCTCGACCGATTTGGGGTCTGTTTTGTGGGCATTGGGGCCCGTTTCTCGAAACCGTCATAAGTCTAACTTCTTGACGATCCCATTAAAAAGGGTGTTAACTGTATAACACACGTTTCAATTAGATAGTCAATAATTTCTTTGAGAAACGGGCCCCCGGTGGCTAAACTCGACATTGACGGTAAGGCTGACAACCTTTTGGTCAAGTAGTTAGATGGTCTGAGTATACTTTGAGGGGGCAAATCGTATGGGGAGGGGTTGACTGCTTCGGGACGGGTTCCCAGACTATATCATGCACTTGAACTATTTGAAAAGTAGAACATTGATTTTTTCGACTGTACAAATATCATGATTGTGAGTCCCTGTGGACTGGATGACTATGTTTATCCAGATGATACCATTAGAAAAGACATAGCCTTTATGATGTACTTAGCGGTCATAATGCAATTGATTCTATGAATGCTCTCAGTATCCGTCATCCCACCTCAGACTACCCCCTAGAGAGCATGCTCGTTATGTGAAGAGCCGTCGTGTATATATAGATCGTCATAACCACGTGATTAACATGATCAAACAGAATTTGTTATACTATTCTTAAGAGATCTTAATAATGTTATTTCTATTTAAAAGTATAGACCAGTTTTGGAAACGCCCCCCTCTCTCTCAAAAAAAAATGGAAGCTCTTATTATCAATCATGTGAAAGAATGTTTTGACTAATACGTGATGATACAAATTTTGCCGGGAAACCGCCTACTAATTTTTATATTTGGTACATTATCATATTGATCGGGCATGGATAGATATCGCGACTGCACTTCAATATTGAACATTTGGGCATATATTACTGCTTTTTTGCGAAATTAGTATTGCCATTTAAACCTCTGAAGGCAGTATTTAAACGGCAATATTAAAACAATGTTGAATGGATATTTTGCAGCCAAAACTCTTGAACCGCAATGTTACCACTACCGGTCTATATCTTTAAGTTGTTGTTCTCAAATTATTTAAAAGTTTATCTTGTCTATGCTTATATTTTGTGATTTTTACTGTGATATTTTATATCTTTAAATCAAGAAATAATCAATACTGACCTAGTAAATATAACACCCAGTTGTAAATAAGCTTTTTAGTCTCATTGGTCATCCTGTCAAGTTATTATTGTTTTTTTTTCCTATATTTTATAATATCATTTTACTCTTTACCTTTATGTGAAATTTAACTTGACTAAAAGATGAAATCGAAATTTCAATATAAAATCGTACACCTGCAGAAATGTGCGAGAATTACAATTCATCGACGTATTACGGAATCCACAATATAAAGGTGAAAACAAAAAAGCGTTCTCCTCATGTTATGTTCGTCTGAAGAATTTCTTATACTACTTTTGTCCCCTGAAAGGAATTTCTCGTGAAATGCCGTCGTTTTCGGAACGTGACAAGAAACAGATGAAATGTATGAACCAAACAATCATGTTATAGTCCCAAATACCAATTTCTGTGCGCTGTGCACGTGTTCTTCCAACCTTCCTACCTGTATATTATGATTATTCCCAAACAGTACACTGGTATGTGCCTAAAAAAAAATTATGTCACGTAGACCTATCATTGTTTCCAAATTGCCTCCAGGCAGTTTCTTTCATGACCCAATCCCTGATCGGAACTCAAGTTTATTTTTAAAATCATTTTAGTGAGGGAAAAATCTCTTTTCTGTCTGCTTTACAGACAAAATTAAGAACAAAACCTACAATAAAAATTGATGAATGTCTTCAATCGTCTCGAAATTATTTTAGTGACACGTATCTCACTGTTGTACCTATCTGGTTTTAATGTATCTGATTAGTGTATTTACTTTGTTGTCATTTTGTCGATTTTTAATTGTTTCTGAATGATCATATAATTTCTTGATTTTTAAGGGGGCGCCTTGGGTGCAGTTTAGGCCTATAATGTGCGCTATACAAATCTAAAATTCAATTCAAGTCATAAAATCTCCGGATCAAAATGTGACCAAACACACATACAAATTGATGGAACGCAAGCCATGTGTAATTCTTCTCAGCATCAGTCATGCTACAAGCTTGATCAGGTTCTTGTAAACACAAACAAAGGTTTTATATGTCTCGGATTGACACCTCTAACGACGAGAAGAAAGGAAACTGACCACGGGTCTTCATGGGGTGTGTTTGGAAATCTAAATCGACCGATTCATGGTCTGAGCAGCATGGACCTACTACAATGCTCTCAGACTCAGACAAAACTTCTTTTCTGAACTTACCGCACGGCGTGCATATCAATAGGTTTTCTCTCTTTTAACGACAGGGAATTTCTTTAGTAAAAGTCGCTTCAAGCAGTAAAGCGAACCCTTTCATAGTACTAAATAGCATAGTAGGTCGGTCAAATGGTCGCTTTGTAAGAGAAATTTCCTTTTGGTACGACCTTATTGATTGGCGGGAAGTAGCCTTGTTTACTCACAATATCCAAGGAAACAGCCAATGGGCATTGTGCTTTCAAGCATGGCACGACAAATGGATTAAGCAAGCACTCCAGATCTTTAGAAGATGACAATAGCGGTGCGGTGGAGACTGGTATCTCTTCTCGCATACATTACACACTACATTGAAGTGGTTTACCGATGCGTGGCGTGACAATGAAAGGAAACCAGTCCAAACCATGGATGTAATGCAGGCCATGGCGGACTGTTTGGCGGGTTGACAACGGTTGCCAAGGACGTACTGTTTTCTCAAGTCTCTACGAATAACACACACCAGCAACGCTGTTTGGTATAATGACCTACCAATCCGAGGTTCATTCTCATACTCGCAGTTTCAGCACGATTGTATACCACGTCTTGTTATCTTATCTCTCTATCTCTGAGACTTGGACCAAACACATGGTCATTGGACATCTGTAATACAGCATTCATATCTGGATATACTACTTGGTGTTATCACTAAGAGTTATTATTCTAGTTTATTCTACGGTAATATTTTAAAGGTGAAACTATAGGTTCATCGCTGCCAGTGATACTTTGATATCATCAACCATTACCGACTATTAGACGACCATTGTTGGATTCTTACCCCATTCGTCGACTGGGAACTGGTTTTTACTCAAGGTAAGTCTGTCGGTTATTTGACTTATTTCATAGTCGGAGGAATTCAATAAATGCTCTGTTTTATAATTAAATGTTGGATAAAAAAGTTTTCTACAAGACATGTGTTGGATGTTCTTCATGGTTAGTTAACCGGACAGATCAAATCGATAAGAGTCACATATTAAATCGGAGGCCATAGATTTAGGGGCGGTGCCCTTTTTTGAAAGAAATTATTTCATTCTCTTAGTTTTGTGATTTCTTCAATTAAATACGCTTTCTGGAGTTCGTCATTTACTATGAGTATATATATATATATAACAATCTTTTTGCGTTTCATTAAGTTTTAATGAGGTTTTATGATGTAAATAAACATATAGACACTAAACGTCTGCCATTCCATACTTACAGTGTACGTTTTTGTATGCTATATTTCTTATTATTCCTGAGTACTTTTGCACAGTAAATGATAGAATTTATCTAATGCGAACATATCACATTTTAATTACATATTCGTTATGCGTGTTTGAATTCTTTATGTTGTTGATAACTACATCATTGTTATTTTGGTAATGCTAATAATATTGTTTAAATGATCTAGGCTTTTAACTATTTGGCCAAAATCTCCTTATTCTAAATTATTAACAAAGTTAATGGTGTACTGTTGATAAACTGCTTATTGTCCCCAGTTGGCAGTTAAATTTACTGACACATTTCCAGTGCCGTTTACAAGTATTATTGTACCATCACTTTTCTAGTGTACATTGTGCTAGTATTTAATGAAAGAAAATATGAGAGAGAATCATCGCTTGCGGTATATCAATATCATCATTAATATTTATACTTATTTAGTATGAGTTGTCATGGTAAAAAAACACTTTTAATGTTTCCTGTTCTGCTCCACGTGTGGACATTAATCCAATGGTTATAAACATGGAACAAAAGACGGGCCGGTGCTCCATACTGTATCCCCATGCCGACACCCTATAAACACGCACTACTCCGTATTCATTGCATAGCATTGTGCACTCTCTTTGTAACTCAATGCAGTTCTCTGCGTGTTTTGAAGTAAAGGGGTATTATAACAGATTACCTCATCCTTAATCAACTCTCTAGAAGTGTTTGAAAATGACAGGAGAGAAAATCAACTATTTTATGAGTCATATCAGGATCACTTACATTTCGTTTTTGGGTAGAAATGCAAACTCACAAAGTGGAATCCACTCCGGATTTGTACGTGTAATTCTAGCCCACACTTTGTACCTTGAAGTTGAAGTCTGAAACAAAGTGACTCCTAATATGATTTATGAAAGAATGGATTTTCATGCTTTCTTGTTAAGAGAAATTAAAAAAAGTGGAATACCGCTAATATCCTGATTCACTGATAGTTTGTGTCCGCCGGGCCTGTTGCTACAGGGATTGCGAAAGAGCCACCGCCCATATGACTCATTCCTGTATAATAGTTGTTTCTCGAGCTCCTATTCTTCAAATTGCGTTCTTCTTCATCAGGAGAAGGTTTCTTGAGGTTGATCAGTGGTTTGTAATCTATATCATATTTACGGATTATATTTATTTGATTTGCCAGCACAGCAACAAAATGTCTCATTCAGAGTTTTATTCAGAATTCTGTTATTATCACCATCATTATCATAGCAATTATTTGTTTGTATTTTTTATCATCACTACCATCATCATCATCTTCATCATCATAAAGTGAATAACTGAAAAAATGAAAATAATTTAATTCAAAGCTACGCGACTAAACATAACTTGGTTATAGAAACATATATTGGTTAACTTTGTCGTTTAAATGTCGTGTGTGTATATGCAAAGAAAACCTTCGACTCCAATTTTATTACGGAAAAAGAGCTTATTACATATAGCAGTGTATACTAAATGACTAAATGCAATTAGCATATCATTATAGCCCCATCAATAATACAGGATTCGACGCATATACAAATTGACCATATCGAGCCAATGAGGCATGATTTGTTCGATCATATTAATTTTTCCTCCGTCCTTCCATAATCCTGAAGTATTGCTCGATTAGGCTTCTGCCAATTTTGGGAAAATAACAGAAAGAAAAGATTCCGTATCAATATTATTAATTGTTTCGTGCATTTTGTGCCATTAAAACCAAGCAATAACAATATTTTGAAAGGTGAACGCCATTGAACTTTTAAATACGATTACACAGTTGAAACTAAAAATAGTTGGATTAATTGTTGAATTAGCCGAGACTAATTATAACGGGTGTCTTTGTGTCAGACTATGCCTCAATACTGGTTCGATGATCCTACCAACGCGTTGCTATGGTAACCCATCCAAAGCATTATTTCTCTCTAGGGACGATACTGGTATATTATGGATCACACCTCAGCATTGTATCGGAAAGTCGATGGCGGGGCCTTGAACATAATTAAAAATGGACAGCATACATATATGAATTTAGAATATTTGATATAGATATATGCACGGGTATATGCTAGTTTTTTTGTTATTGGTTGGCTTTGGTACAAACAATTTTGTTGTTCATCTCCGTTTTTGTTCTCGATTATTAAATGCGGTTATTGATCTGAGGAATTTGTGGTTTTGATCGTATATCCTAAGGCGTATACTCGCTTTTATGAGAATGTAAGCATGATGCATCGTATCCTTCATGTAGGCAGTAGATCAATTATATCACAATGACTTCTAAGCGTCTATCTTCCAATTCTTTTTCTCTACAGTTTCTGATTGGATTCATCACCGTCGACAATGATGACGCGGTTGCCATGGTTACGAGGGATAGCGGTGGTATCCATGATACTCCTCTCCATTAATCAAGGTAAGTGTATTCCACCTCGTCCTATTTCAATGAAAAGACACGATTGAAATGAAAATGTAGAGTCTCCAAATAAATAGCTTCACTAATGAATGATTAAATTTAGCAAATGCAACACAGGGTTTATATGCAGTCGGATTTGCCTTAGTGATCAACTTTGGTCCTTTAGTTTCCGTTTATTTTGTCCGATTTCGGCTTTCTCTTCATTGTTATGGCTTAATTTGACGATTTCAAAAAAACGGTTTTGTTATGTTTCACTATATAACTTCCTTTTAACAACAGTTCGGAGCGTTTTACATTGCAATTGTTATTACCCTGGTCATTGGATTTAATTGCTAATCCGCACATGCTAATGCACACTCTCCGCTCCTTGGGGAGTCATATTCCGGTCAGGCGCCATTTAATTTTAAACTCGTTATAACTCTTGTTTTGGTTGTTGTCTTAGGTTCTGCACAGCAAGCCTTCCAGATCCAGCCCGACCCCACATACGAGCGTGCTATCGGTGAATCGGTTATCCTCCTCTGCTCCGTAACAGGCAAGGAAGGAGCTCTGACATGGGTTAAAGACAGTACTACAGCCATCTCAGCAGATCGAGTCATCGTCGGCACTGGTGATTATGAGATCACAGGAGATGACGCAAGCGGGAGTTATAATCTCCTCATCATGAATCTGACTGAGAGTGATTCTGGGAGCTATATGTGCAGGGTGTCAGCGGCAGGATCAAGCTCTGCTCTGAGCTCATCAGCAGCTCAACTCACCGTCTCACGTAAGTCGGAATCTTTGATGGCGATTTCATCATGGACCTAAGAACATTTATCCATCCAAGTTTTATGCCTCAGTCTCAGTGCGAACTGACTCTAAGCTGATTCCAAACCGACTGGTCATAAATCAAAAACAAGTTTAATTTTAATTAATTTTGGTACAAAAAATAGACTTTTATTATTTGAAGTTTAATCTACTTTGGAAACACGTTAATAGCTCATGATAACCATGTGTCCAACAAGTGTCATGCAATTAACGATAATGTTTTGTATTTTTCATTTTGTATTTCACAGCGATTCCAGTCCAGGCATTCAGCACTGGACCCAGCGACACTCCGGCCCTTACCGGTAACTCCGCCACTCTTCTATGCGTCATCGAAAACAAAGAGGGCACCGTCGAGTGGCTTAAAGACGGCTCCGTCATCAGCGAGGACTCCGCGATCACCGACACCTCTCTCACTCGTTACAGCATCATCGGTACGGCGTCGAACGGCGAGTTTAACCTCCAGATCGTTACTCTTCAAGAAAGCGATATGGGGACGTACAGCTGCCGCGTGAGTGCTGCAGGGGACAGCGACGCCATTGCTTCAGGAAACGCCGAGCTGACTGTTCGAGATGCAAGTGAAGTCCAGAGCATTGTGATCCCACCGTCTGATGTGACAGCTGTAGTTGGTACATCGGCTACCATGGTATGCTACGTGTCGGCTCTATCAGGGTCTGTGCTCTGGATTAAAGATGGCGTCCAGATCAGCAGGAATAGGGAACTAGTCAACGGAGATGCAAGGTAAGCATTCTATCAACCTCCAGTTTAAACACCTTAACGGCGTCTTTTGGAGGAATCCTACCAAGTACCAAGTAGCAGTCCACCATGTCCACATACATGTATACCATACCGTAGAGGGATTACGATGCGACCGACAAGGGGTACATATTAACAGGCTTCAGATCACAAACCAACCGGTCTTTAAGCCTTAGTATTCAGAGGTTCATTTTGGGAAACCCCTAATTCCCAATGGCCAGGTTGTTAATAAAGAGTATGGTTAACATCTACGATGATATAATATTACTTGTTTGTTTATGATTGTAGAGATGGAAACAATTTATTTTTGAGAGATAACGTTGTTTCCCTCTTCTGTTGTTTTCAGCGGTCGTCTGTCTATCCAAGGCACCGATGAGGAGGGCAAATATGAACTGTACATCAGTAGAGTGGAAGAGAATGACCAGGCCATCTATTTCTGTGTCCTCTCACAGTCGGAGGTAGATTCCCCCGTGTCTTCATCGCCTGCAACCCTCACAGTGGAAGGTATGTATCATAATGTCCAAACTTAACCAGTCTAGAACAAATCATTCAAGTCATGCCTCCAAACTTACCTATTTAAGGATCAAGCGCCTTTGAATCCTTGGTTAAAATAACGACATCTAAATGTTGCGAATCATCATCATCATCACCACACTAATCACACTTTCATGGCACTTAATACTTCGTTTTTAAGCGCTTTACTTCGTAAATATCATTACCCCGGTCGTATATATAATACATGTTTATGAACTTATAACACGCATATACCCATGATAGATCAAGGCGTAACAAGACTACTTTGACAGATGACTTATCTATGTAAAAAATATGCAACCTTATATTCATTTTTTTCCTTCTCATTTCCCCCTCTTTAGCTGCTATTGAGCCAAACACTATGTCTCCTGAATGTTCCTTGACGCCCGCTTCAATCCTGAGCGAGGGAGACACCGTCACAATCACGTGCGAGTCATCAGGGGGAGCCCCCCAGCCCACACTGACCTGGTCAAACGATCTCGACGCTAACACCTTCTTCGGGAACCAAACCGAAGATGATTCCAGCGCGACCAACTCGGTCACTTTGGTATTGACCACGGAGCTCAGCGGCGCCGTCTATACATGCAGGTCTACTCATCCAGCTTATACCGAGCCAAAGGAATGCTCACTTCCGGCACTCCAATTTGCTCGTAAGTTATCAACCCATCAATCAATCATTTAGTTAATCTTTTTCAGTTATTGGAACCATCAACTAAATAAGCATTCCCTTAAATGTTTCTACTCATGATGTATGAACAGGATCGCAAAGCCTAATTATTATGTTTCCCTATGGAAATCATGTTCGCATTACGTGATAATTAGCACGTTTGTACATTTAATAGGAGACGCGAAAGCATATAGAAATTTAAGTCGGTTTATTTGTTTGAAAGTCTTCTCGATTGTGTGTTATGAATTACTTTCAAAATATATAATTCTTTTGATTTATTTTTGTCCTTTCAAGTGATTGCTACCATCAATGTTACTACTGATACAAGCCGACTTACCATCGAGGAAGACAAACCTGGTGAGATCATATGCAGTGCTGTAGGTGACCCAGTGGTCCTGGGGTACAGATGGTACTATAACGGAGCAGAGATCGGAAATGATGATGGAAGGTTAGTAACAACACTTTCGTCTCTTCACTGAATCGGGGGTGCTCTGACATCGGGACATTATTTCACGTTGATTCCGGGTATTTTGAAAAACACTTTTATCAATAAACAACAACAATATGTACTCCTCCAAATAACAGGGAGCTCTGAGTAAATAATTTAAAATATGTATCATTCCGTTGCTATGTATATATTATCATGTAAGCCATCTCGAAGCGCTAACACTGCAATGTTTCTATAACGAATGTTCTGATTGGTTCTCTGTTCAGGTTTGTCATTGAAACGACCAATGGAAAGGATTCATCTACGCTGACCATAGGAAGTGCGACACTCAGTATGGATGACGCTACCGTGCAGTGTGAGGCATTCAACCGTATTGATCAAAGACGTACAAACATTGTATTAACTATTAAAGGTATGTACCCTATGTTACAAGTGTGATTTACACTATAACTTGTAGCTCTAATATATAAACAAAATGCAAGTTAATATAATCATTATGTTTAATAAGCATGGCTATTAACTTTTAGATACCAGAAACAAGTGATTTTTTACTTTTGGGCGAGCGAATCAATGAGCAGATTGTGGCGTTTTGTCATCTCTGTGAGTGCTGTAAGAAGGGATTTTTGTGTGAGTTTCAATATGAATCTAAGCGAATCATTGCCATGCAGATCATGCATCAATTCTGTTTGCTTCCTCTGATTAAAATAATATTTTCTTTTGATATTTAGGCAAAATGCAATTCATTTGTTGAAGATTTAATACGCTAACTTTGTTTAAATAATGTCTCTCTTTTACAGAGGATAATTTGACGACCTATGTGCTGGCTGCCCTTGGTCTGATTGCTACTATCATCTTTGTGGCGCTTGTCATTGGATTCATCGTGTGGGTGTGCCATAGGATGAACAAGAGGAACAGAACAAGTAAGTTATCTTAACTCCCAAGTTAAGGGACAAGAGTGGTGCCATAGATTCTATGCTATGTCAACAGTTTGCAGACAGTCATAGGGATTCGAACTAAGTAAGGTTGTGGGGAAAGTTAACATACCTCTCCTGAAAGGATTTTTCTTAAAGAAAAGCTGTATCCAGATTGGCAGTGTCGGGATATGTATTTGAATAACATGGAGTTCGTTGATATGCATGATATAGGACAATGTCCTAAAAACCTTTGACCTACTCACAATCAAACCCTCGACAGCCCTTCGCTATGATAAGTACAGTCAGCTAATTTTGTTCTAAAAAAATATAGTTTCTATTCAATGGAAGGAGGATTTGTCATGACATGTATATATCTTTTTTTTTCCTTGAGACGAAGGCAAACTTATAATGTGTATATGTATTTCTGGTTGTTCCCTCTAGTTCACCCTGATGCTGAAGCTGATGGCATGACCAAACAGATCCCCAACAAGAACTTCTTCATCGGAGCTACTCACATGGACAGCATGCAGAACGGTGGCATCACGATGGAGGCTGTGGATGAGAAGAAGAAGCACAAGAAACACCGAAAGCACAAGACAGACAAGAAGGACAAGAAGGAGAAGAAGGATAAGAAACACAGGAAGGACAAGTCGAAGGTCCTTGAGCATGATTCCTCCAGGGCTCCTAACCCCCTAAGCACGCGTGATGGTGATCATGAGGGACTACCAACCATCGCAGGCTACATCCGACCTAGTGCTGGTCGTGACCCAGGCGTCTATCCTACCTACCCACCCATGTACCCCATCGATGGACACTCACCGCTTCCCCACTACCAAGATGGCTACCCACAGGGTGGCCCAAGCTCGGGGGACAGGTCAAGCCGAAGGGATTCAAAGGACAGACCGGTACAAAATGGAAAGATCTCCCTGTCACCAGGAGAGTATCAGAAGAGGGATGAGTACGAGAGGAAGCTGAGGGAGCTCCAGGGTCTTAGGTCTGATCTGGTCGTCCCGGAACCAGAGAAGAAGAAGAAGAAACACAGGAAGCATAAGAAAGATGTAAGTTTGTTGACCTGAAATGACCTTAGACCTTAACTTAGTGACTTGAAATTCTACTTACATGATTGAGGATACTTGATAACTCTTTAGTCGAAGTTTCATTCAATAAAAACTTATACTTTCAAAATTATTTAATACATTCCTCTTGTTTATTATAACACAATGCCTCTTATAATATTGACAAAATTCTTCCGCCAAACTAAGTAGCCTAGATAACCAGAAAATGGTCACCGTTAACTTGATGCATTTATAGATGGCCGCTATTCAATGTAAATGGAGGATGGAAAAATATTTCTACCTATCAGCAAAATATTGTTGTTATCTATTTTACGACTTCAAACATATTTTTAAAGCAAAGTCATCTTGATATAAGTAAATGAAAATATGCATTTCGGCAATATATATTTAAAGCAAAATCATCTAATGAAATAACAATTAGTATGGATTTTCTTTCAATTTAATTTTGCAAATGTTTCAAAAATTGTGAACCCTCAATCTAATCCTGTTTCTTTTGTTTTTCATCTTTTCTTTACAGAAATCCTAGAATACATCAACATGAGCAAAGTGTATGAAACAGATGAACAGCGATAATTATGCTGAGAGGTTTTACAACCGAGTCACATTCTTGCCATGTTTGATATCACTCCGCTAACGACTGGGGCTACATTCTGTCACGTGACATTATCATGACGTCATCAGGTCCGTGTAAAGAGAAGACAGTATTATAACCTGATTAGTACTGGTTTTATTCTGAACTAATGAATATTCATCATCCTGTGCTGGCAAGGTCGAGAGGCTTTCACCTGATTGGTCTAGAGATGAATTAAGAAGCAATATTTATGAACTTTACGACGAACACCAAGAGAGCGTCGCCATGAATATGGAAACCTTGACTGTTGGACAGAGCGATTATTTTATTGTGTATACTATTTAGCGACAAGCGTTCTTTTTAATAAAGAATCGAAGCAGGCTGTCAGCAGCCAGGGGAACTGTCGGCCTACGAGACCGACTGACCAGGAGACCGACACTGTCACACGGTCTAGTGAACACTCAATTAAGTCTGCAAAAGCCTCGTGATTCCCGCTCGTTAGTCTAGTATTATTAGACTATAGGGGGATGTTAAGTCCCCTAGGCTGTCGGTCTCGTGGGCTGTTGGGTCTCGTTGGTATTCTTTCAGTCTCTTTGGCTGTAGCAAAGCTTTTCAACTCGTTTATGTAATGATTGTGTTTAAGCAGTCTCATATTGGACATGATTTACTTGTACAGGGGCCAACTATTAAAGGAGTTTGATTTTGAGAGTTTGGTTTGTTACCTAGGCAATATTTCTTATCTTTCTTCCTTTTTTTTAGAACAATAGGTATTGCAATGTCTTTCAATTGTATTTCATTTGATACCGATTTGTGCAGCTGTCAACTCAGAATATTTTCTACTGCTATTTTTACCTTGGCTGAACAAATATGATCATTTTAATATTGCATTCGGAATATAATCTATTGATGTGTCAAAATCGAATTTAATTATTGTTTATAATTAGGTAATCACATAGTGTTAAACAGTTGATGAAACGAAGGAAAATACATCTAGGAGAGAGAAATATTCATTTTGAAAAATACAGTTATATTCAAAGACAAAGTAGTAAGTTCGTACAAACTTCGAAAATCTCAATTTCTTTCATTACCACATTGCTTGTATCTCGTTTAGTTTTCTTTCCATTGAGTTACATATAATAATATGTATCTGTTTCACATTCCCTTATTTTCTTAAATACTATATATTTAATTCATTCGATTTTAATAATCACTTTTATTATCTTCATTTATGAGTGCTTGAATACAAAATATAAGATCAAATTTGGATATGCAAAGCGATATTTTGAAATGTTAAAAATAAATAAATATGCCATGACTGATCAAATTATATACAAAGACTTGGCTTAATTTGTATGTCTGAGAAGGACAGAGATAGACGAGGATGGGATGGAGAGAAATAAAACGAAAGAGTGAAGGAGAGAAAGAGAGATAGATAGATAGATAGATAAAGAGAGATAAATATATAAAGAAAGAGAGAGAGAGAGAGAGAGAGAATGAGAGAGCGTTTGAGTATGGTGACAATGGTCTTTAAGATTTGTCACGTTTTGGTGGTGATAGAATGAAGAATAACGAAAAAGAAGACGAAGGTGATGAAGAGAAGAATGATGACGTTGTTGAACAGAGAAGAGAAAAATAATAATATAAATAATAATAAAAAGAAGAAGGAAGAAAAAGAAAAAGATGAAGGGGAATATGATGAGGTTGATGGTGAACAAAGAAGAGAAGCAGAAGAAAAAGAAAAAAAGATGGAGGAGGAGGAGGAGGAGAAGGAGGAGGAGAGAGACAGAGAGAGAGAGAGAGAGAGAGAGTGGATAATGCTGATGACGTTGATAATGATAAGAATTAGAGTAATCGAACATTGGATATGATAATATTGAAATTCATATTTTTTCCTTGAAAAGGGGGAGGCATATCTACAAAAATATGGCCATCACAAATAAAGTTCCCCAGAGTTTTTCAATTTTGACTTTCTTTTTAGTCGATATGTTCGAGGGTTTGACAAACTAAACTAGGCAAATATGTCCATGCCTACCTATAGAAATCATAATATTTAGTGGAGTTATTATTAAAGTAGGGTTTTGTACATTCAAAAGGCAATAACATACACAATAAAACAACAATCCAATCTCAAACAGTTGTAGGTTTTCACACGTACTCTTTCTTTATTGCTATCCAAATCAGTATCCATATGCGACTCAGGAATTTTTCTTCCTTTCAATGGAAAAAAAAACAAAATCACAACAAAAATTAGGAAAATCAGCTATTTAACTACAAAAATAGTAAACGTTAAAACCTGGACCCTGTTTCATAAAACCTGTTACCAATAACACGTCATAATAACTCTTATAAGCTACTGAAATTGTGGCATTTGATTGGATGAGAGCAAATTTGTCATAGAAATTTAGCATTTATGATTGATAAAGAAACTTTCATGAAGCAGGGCAATGTGCGACCCATCATATTATATATAAGAAAGATTGCTATGTCCTGCCTGGTTTGAAGGCTCGAAAATGGATGAATTTATTTAATTTTGCTTAGACAAGCAATATATTGGTTACACCCCGGTGTCCAACTGGTATACTAGGCAGATATATCTTGTCAAACTGTCCACCCGGGATGAGTTCCATTGCAACAGTCAGCATTGAGGATATGGCGATGATTACAATCATGCGTTCATACTCATGACGTGAAACATTGGACAAGAATAAATGCTTTATGTTTACGAGGTAGGAAAATACTTTAAGAATTACAAAATCTTTCTACATTTTGTCAAAATCTTTCATTGTAAAGTGTCGCAAGTAATTTAAAACTTGTACAATTTCAGAACCCTGTTCGAAGTTTGGTAAATACATCATTGTTTCTTATTCGTTGCACTTACAACAATGAAAACTGCACCATTTAAATCAAATATAGAGTTGGAATTCGATGGAATACACAATACGCCAAAGATCATTATGCAATTACAACAGTAGATGGCGCTCTCTGTATTACGATCGATTGCAACAGTTGACAACCTTTTTAGGAATGAAATGCGTAACTGTTATTCCTATTTTGGTGAATGCTTTCAGGGGGAGGGTGTTGTTAACATAGTATGAAGGAAAATGAAGGGAAAGTGAACATAGAACAACTCATAAATATCCACAAATCCTCAAATAAATGGTTTGCTTGCTACGTAGAGATACAATAAAAGAGCTATTTTGTATATCTATACCCTATAGTAGTATTTGGATTCCAACATTCTAGCATGTATACATTAGCTTTGTGCTATATTGGAATAAAGAAACAGCTATATATTTTATAGATTCTTCTATGGGAAATTTAATTTCAGGATATGAGAGTGAAAACACTGCAAGAGTGTCGTTATAAGTCATCAACAAAATCCAACCTCCTTATCACAAATTAAAAGCAGAAATAAATAAGCAAAGATCAAATAGGGAACTACTATTATTACTAATGGTGAAGCGTAAAGAAGTCTGTTAAACACAGATATCTCCCTCTCCATTTCACCTGCCTTAAGGCTCGTTCATTTATGACGCGGTCAACTGCAGCGGTTTTTATTTTGTGTAAATAAATGGCAACCGCGCGCAACTAAGGTCCTGCGCGTATTGGTTTTCACTTAGCACTGTGTTATAAGATACAGAAACATAAAGCGTATTACAAGTTACGTCATTTTTAAAAAACCGCCGCGGTTTTATCTCGTCATTTATGAACCAGGCCTTAAAATAAGTATTACTATTTGCCAGCATGATGTTATGTTGTAGATGTAGATATCGTTGCCCCCGCCCCCTTAATTTCGGTTAACCTGACGTCATGACATGACGAGGTTTCACAACGTAATACCAGCGTAACTTGTAACAACAAGAAGGGTTCTAATTAAATACTAGTCCCTCCAAATTAGTAGGATCTGACAGTCTGTATTAATACACAGCAAATAAAACCAAATCAAAAGAAAAAAATTCAAATCAAAGAAAAACAAACACAAGTAATCATATACAGAATTAATAAAATCAATCATAATTTACAAATGCAAACCAAAATATATACAAAATATGCATTTTTGAAGAAAAAATATTGTACAATCATTGAATCATAAAATCTTGCTCAAACACAAAAGCAATTAGAAACGCAGAAAGTGGAAATAAAGGAATTTGTAACAACTTAAGGAGGGAAAATTTAACATTGAAAGACAAAGACAGTAATATAGAGTGGACTTGATTACGACAGGGGAATTGATATTAGATTGGGTTCTAAAACTTAAAAAATATCAACCATTGGCTGCGGGTTCTATCCACAATCTATCGCACGCAATAAACCAGTCCCATATACCAGTCTCAGCGCAGACTGCGCTCAAGAGGGATTCTGCGCCCATTATGTGGAGAACCTTTAGGAAGCTGGTGCTCCAGGATCAGTTAGCCCTGAGAGGCTCAACCAATATTTTAAAGCTTTGTCCTCTCAGCATTCTGGCAGCAACCATGCCAGGAAGCCATGGATTCAAGTGAATCGCCTACGACCAGACACAGGTTGCTTTGCAGCAGAAGTTAGGGTCGATTTTGAAATCCAGGGTATCTAAGAATTTTGTATAAGACTGTGAAATATGAATTAAGTGGATTCATTATCAAATCAGAAAGGTAAATTAAAAAGCATAGCACGAGGTACTACTCATTTCGCATTAGGTAAAACATCTTTGGTATAGCATTTTGCACTCATGTCCTGCACAGCACAGACATTCACAATCATCTTGCCATCCGATTTTGAAAGAATTGATTAATAAGGGATGGCTTATTGATTGTATCGGAATTCCCTAACCGAATGTCAGTTCCACTCCGCCCCTGAAGATAGGGAAGGAAACCCTTTAGGAAACGAAATTAGTACGAGCTGTGAATCTGGATGCAGAATTAGCCCGAAAATATGACTTTCTCCAAAATATTCTCAAACGGATGAATAGAGAGGAAAATTTTGCGAATTATAATACTGATTTGAGAGTTATCGACTGAAAATTAAAAATAGGGGAAATATAGCTGTAATCATCTACAATAAATATAATTGATATATTTGACTATTATCTTTGTTCTTCGCCCTTTGTTCTATAATTCTTTAATAAAGTGAAAAAGATTTGTGTAAAAGCTGCGTATTTAAATAATCAGGTGCATATCTGAAATTAAAACTTGAGTTACCATGGTTACCATCATTACCCTCATAAATCATCACATGTTTGTTTCCATGCTATACAGAATTATGTCTATGTTATGTGAATGTTTCGACAACAATGCTTCCCGCAATGCTATTTGACCTATAAACAAGCACTCCGTAATCTCAAACCCCATAAGGAGATATATAGCCCTTTTGAGAGGATTGAGAACACGTCACCATCTTATATTTCATGTTTCATCAAATGAATATAATAAATTATCATCAAGTAGTACGTAATAGCAGCATAAAGTACATTTTAATATCTGGTCGAACAGGTTCAAGAGATTCGTTGAAAACTGGATCCTATTTTTAAGTGGGTTCATCTCTAAGTAAACAAGGACTAATATGACTAAAAAGTAGATCTCAAATCCCCTGCATTTAAGCGAGTAAGATGAAACCTGAATATAAATAGTTATCGTTCAAAACTCTCAGTATAAAATTCTTTTGATTTGCACACCACTTTTTTCGATTTAAAATCTGATAAAATTTGCTCATAATTGTACAGATAACAAGCTAATCAAATTTGTGATATAGATAATAACTAAATCAATAAAGAGTGTATACTCTGATATCATACATATTTACAAATATATAAAATACAAAAATGGGATTCACAGCTTTTCTAATTCTTAATATTCTAACAACTATTACTGTTAAAACCTTTTTTTGTCTAATACAAATCTGGAAGTATAGTTTCTTTCTGATTCCACGTTTCTACATTCAATAAACACATCTATATACCTTTCTTTTTTGGCACTCTCTCCCCTCTTTATAAATCTCTTTCATTTATACAGTAATTCATATTTGAACATATGCGTCAGACGCGATTGCTCACAATGTATATATCATAATATATTATGATTGGTGACAATATTGTATGACAACCCATGTATACATGTTGTATGCCTTTCCGGAATGCGAAAGTTTTTAGAGAGAAGAGAATATTGGTGTAGGTTGCAATATTATAAAGATGGAACTGAAATAGAAAGAGAAGGGAATAAATATGAATAATCCGAAAATATATTAACTTTTCACTATAGTTTCTGCGTCTGATAAAGGAAACACGTGTCACTTCTTATACAAAAAAAACAACAACAACATCTCTGATACAAAATTGTCGTGCTTTTATAATATTTGACAAGAGGAGATACGAGGAAGACAATATACATGGTTTGTATTTGGCTTTGACTTTAAAAAAACAAACTCGCTTATTTCTACCGAATATCTGGGCCACATTTCACAAAACTTGACATCAGTGACAAATGACAATTTTTGTTATAAGCTAGTGAAATCCTTGCTTCTGATTGGTTATCAGCAGATTTGTCACTGATTTTCGTCATTTGTCACTGAAAAAATACTTTGTGAAACCGGTCCGTGATTATGCCATAAAGTGACACAGGAAAAATGTGTTTTTATGTGTCCCAACTTTTCGAATGTTATCATGATTGAATTATAATTAATTTGTCCAAAGTAGAGAAAAGTGGTGATTTTTTAATATCTTACAACTGGTTTCGAAAAACTAAGGTTTGATATTTTGTTTCACGATTTTTGAAAATCCCTCAATAAGCACTAATGTAAGAATGTTCTGTCAAGTACAATTTTTGCTTATTTGGATCCTAAACATTTTTTTTTTAAATCTCAGATTTTCTTGAGATAGTAAGACATTTGAGCCTTTGAGACAACGAGTTTGGGACTTAAAGCGTTAACGATCGTTCGTATCTTTTCGTTTCTATCCATGTGAGAAGCCGTGCATAAACATGTATCAGGACTCCGTAGCGGATACCGCATTAAAAAATAAACGTCACATAGGACAAGTTAGGCAGATTAGTTGTCAAAGTTTTCATTTTCACTTTTGCCATAATTTTCTACAAAACTTCGGTCTACTACAGTCAAACATCTTTACCTTTAAATAAAAATATGAAAATATTGTACGGATTTATACATGTTATGATGGCGTAAATACACTATATTTATCATCGGTAGATGAAACTCAGAATTCTGAAGAAATCCCACCCATGAATAAGAAAAGACGTAGTCATTCTCCATTTTATCAACGGCACAAACTCGGCACATGATCATGTGATGAATTCAACACGTGATGCGAGTTTTCAAATCCCATTCTTTGATTGGTCCTCTCCAGCCTAACCTCCATTCGTATTCCTTCCGGGTCACATGAAGGAACCGAAGGATCATGCATTGCGCATGTCTTGTCCACGATGTAAGCACGTGAATAAACATGTCTTGTCCACGCAGCAAGCACGTGGACAGACATTGTGAATAATGTGCGTACTTATAAGATAATTATTGTTGCAGATTTAATACTCCTTGGATCGCCAGCTGTTACGTAGTATCTTACCATGTGGCAACAAAACGAGTATTAGAAAAACACATATACCATATGATTAGGATGACAATTATGTGCGATTTATTAGCAATACGTTGACGAAATGATCGAGTCATCCTTTTTCTTTCTATTATCCGTTCGTTCTAGCCATATATCTTCAGGTGTGTCCGTAGATAGCCTGCCGCTTACAGACGGAGTCGATGAGGCAGCCTGAAGGTTGTGGCCAGAAACAGAGCGATGTGCTGTTGAGACGCGGCCGGATGCAGAGCTTGGACGTTGCGAGCGCGTCGACGACGATCGCTTGTCCGAACGCGGAGAGCGTGATTGCCGATGTAATGTTTGTGTTTCCGTGTACGACTCGCTCGGTTGCTCACATTTCTTGACACGTGGCATAGTGTTTGAGGAATACATGGATTGTTGACGAGGCATTGAATGGGAATTCGATTCCGGTAGCAGGACTGGAACATCCACCGGTTGATCACCTGGAAACGGCTGGCTTAGGAGTCTATCCACATCGTGTAAATCGTTGGACGTGCCATTGTTTCCTGTAATAACAGATGCCAATGTGGCAGGGACACGATTCGACACACTGGGAATCTGCTGATTGGTATTGGTGGACGGCATGATATTATGAAGCAATGTTTGGGCATCTTGTTGCATGGTCTGTGCAATCACCGCCATTTCTTTCTGCTTTTGTTCTTTCAACAAAACATCAATGATCTCGTTCCTCTTCTCATCAAAACTTCTCTCAATATTATCCAGCTGCAGATAAAGCTCATCTATTTTGTTATGCACTGCTCTATCACACACAAGTTTGTTCGCATCCACAATATGTACTGCTGAGGGTGCAATTTGTCCCGTTGATGAACTAGTTGGAGCACCCTCTGGCGTTCCTCTAATCCCCAGCCCGCCTGACACACGCCCTCTCTGTTTTGTCTCAGCAAGTTGTGGTTCTGATGCTGCCATATACTGAGTCTCTTTGAGAGGGCTATGAGGAATGGATTCACGTTTTTGTGGAGCACGAGGACTGCTGGTGTGTTTAGGAATCATCGGAGCATCTTCGCCTTCGTCTTCCTCCTCGTCGTCGTCAGCGTTCAGTCGATTCATCTCGATGTCGACCGTGGTACGCTTGGAAGATTCTGCAAAGGTTCAGAATTAGTGATCGAATTTCATGAGTTACATTGAGGACTAAATACAATATCTTATTTCTCCCACTCGTCTACTTCAAACTGTTCGATAATTTAAAGAAAATTCTTACTCCTATGAGCGCATTAAATGAAGTAGGATTGAGAACTGATAACTGTTGTAAAAAGTGAAGTGGAACCAAAAGAGGGCCCCTGATTTGGTAATTTCAAGCTTGTAGTCTAATCTAATACTGCAGTCAGATTCAAGTTGTTGAAACGTATCTTGATTCCGCGATGTTACAGATTTGAATAATTACAGTTGAACGGTACTCTCAATTTTGATAATTTTTTTTCCACCATCCTGTTGTTATGTCCCAAACATAAAATGAGTTCTATTATTTGACATCCTCCAGACACCCTAGTGTAGTGCTAATCGAAATGTGAGCAAGATAATTAATCCACGTTTACCACTTTCTACCCAGGTGTACATTGATACCTGGCAACATTGATGCGGTATAATTGCAGGGCCATAGTTGCAGGGCCATAGTTGCAGGGCCTTAATTACAGGACCATAATTGGAGGGCGATAATTTCAGGACAATAATTGCAGGGCCATAATTACATGGCCTTAATTGCAGGGCCATAATTACAAGGCCGTAATTGCAGGGCCACAGTTGCAGGTCCATAATTGAAGGGCCCTCAGGGAAAACAGCACTAATGTTGATGAAGCTCACCCGGGTGATCAAAAGTAATTTAAAGCCCCATTATACTACTTGTAGCTACTTGCTCCCTCTATATAAAAAATAATGCCTAAGCAGTGCCTGTTGGTCCCCCATGATCCTCATTTTCTTATGTTAATTGAGAGCTGAGTTGATGAGATAACCACCTGTCAGTGAGCAACCTGGGTGGTCTAGTCCCTCCTGGCCAAACAGGTACAGACGGACTTTAAAACTCTTACCTTGTGACGCGGATCTTGACTTCTCACTTCGTTTCCTGAAGCGTCTCCTAGTACTGGGTGATGTAGCGCGATAGATAGTCTGAAGGTTCTCAGAGCTTTGCATAGGTGTGATAGTTAACCTGGTATTGCTAACTGACAAGTTGTTTCGTGTACTTGAAGTTTTCTTTGGAGGTGTTGTTGTCTTGTCAGCCTCAAGGTCTTTCTCAGGAACCGCTGAGGGTCGCCTCTCAGATGGATCATACTGTTAACGTACAAATGGGAATTGAGAATATTAAAGTGACTCGGTTCATGCCTCCGATTCTGAAACAAAATCCTGGATTTAGCTCATGCTGCAATTATAATTATGAACCTTTAGGTCATTCAAGAATCCCAAGACAGAGAATCACAGACACAGGTAACACGTACGGCCATGCATCTCAGATTTAACATTGTTAAACGATCCCTTTAATGATACCAAGTAAGGCATTACTGAGTCCTTTTATTTTTAAGTCGGATTGATGATTATCAAAGGGATAGTCAGTGGTAGAATTAGGGTTTTACAACACAACTCTTTGGTATATGTGACAAACGTCATGTTTGCCACACAAAGGAAATATCGTATGTTAATGTTAATCATTTTACACAGAATTAACACTTTCCAGTCTTTAAACAGACGATTTATGCCCCATTGTGTTCTTATGTCTCTCCCACCGTCTAAAAAGGAATTGGAATGTATTTTTTTAATTTGCATTTCTAACTTATCAAACTATTCCTAGGATTGTGTATCCCTTTTGCATAATCTTGCCTCTGTACCCGGTTAATAATGCGAACTCACAACAAGCAAAACACAAGTAGACGCTTCCATACTACCACCTTGCCATGCCTGTGAGTTATACACATTTCTGTCTTACATGTGTCAGAAATGTTAAGTTACTTTTGTGTTTTAATATATTAGTGATACTGATGTTATCTGAACATCAGCGAACTAACTTGATTGGCCTATATGAGACTCTCCTTACGAGGACTGCTTGTGCGTGTGTGTGTGTGTGTGTGTATTGGGTTTTTACAGACGTGTATCAATCAGATAAGATTATTTACGTCTGGGGACCGACCTTTAAACGTCACCATCCGAAAGACGTGACTCAGTTTCGAACCTGCGTCCTCGGCTGAATCAGTTTGTAACTTCCACTTATAGCTGGATTACAGGCGCACGCCACAACGCCTAGTGTGACCAGGGCCCCGTCTTATAAAGAGTTGCGATTGTTTTGGATCAATCGGAAGTCCTCCAATCAATTGCAAGTTTGCATACTCCTATCTCGTATGTACATTGTTGTGATTGATATCAACTCTTTATAAGATTGGCCCGGCTGTCAACAATTACCTATTGACATCTGAAACAACCATTGTTTGCAATTGTACAATATATAACAAAATATACACATAAACTTACATCTCTCATATCCATGGTGATTTCAACCTTCTCTGCAAAATGTTCTTTGAAGTCTGGATATGACCTGATCACATCCATCAGATCATCCCTTGCTAAGGTCACCAGGTCACAGTAGGTCAATGCCCTCACGGTGCCCTTTGACCTCCCTACATCCTCGCACGTACAGAAATTCTCTCCTACAACATCGTTCTTTCCTGTAAGGTTGATGAATAGAAGGGATAACACAAATTGTTTGAAAATATAATTTCGTTTTTGACGTTGTGGTGATAGTGTTTAACTTGTCGATCGATCAAGTTAAAAATATGAGAGAGAATAAACACCCTGATAGTTTTATAATATTGGAAGCGCTTAGTAAGGGCAAAATGGTAAGTACTGTATTTGTGGCGCTGAACATATAATATTATAATCATACGTTGTATGATACATATAGTAACATCATCAACTTTCATGCGATTGTCCCCGACCAAATCATTCTTGCCTGCAATTATCTTTTCGACGAATGTTTGTTTGTTTATACTTTCGGTCCATGCAAGCACATGGATTTTTTTTTTAATTCCTGAAACTTTGCAGCTCGATACATCACGCTTTTGTGCTCTTGCATAATAATATTATACACAAGGCACAGGAAAGATACTACTAATAGGATTACGTTCATACTTACCTAAAATTGCTAAAACAAGGTTTCCCTGTAAAATTTCCAGGGATCCTCTCGATATAAAGTACATGATATTCAACGAGTCGCCTTTGTGTATTAATATATCACCAGGAGCTGTGTGCGTTGTCTAAATAAAGAAGAACAAGGAAATGAAAGAATGAAATCAATTAACAGTCACCAATTATGTTCTTCAGTTGGAAGACATCTTATACAAATTGGCTTACATTACGCTTTGGTGTAACCCTTTATAAAGAAGTCTAAGCTCGATATATTTTGCCGTCTTCTTATCACAATTCGTAGTTTTAATAGTCAACTTGTCCAACTTTTTGTTTTTGTTTTAAAGATGAAGTTGAGTTCTGGTCATGCGATTGCATTGTGAAAAAAACGGTGTGGAACCGACCAGAAAAGGTTGATCATCTAGCATATAAGAATTTGTGTGTATTGCAAGGTTCTGGAATCATCAAAATGATAAGAAATTTGGCCAAGTCTTGGTAAAGTTACAAACACTTGCACAGAAAGATGTATATGGGACTACACGAACACGTGGCGTAAAAAGCCGGCCCCCCGATTTTTACGATGTTACATGCATATTTAGAATATGAAGGCATTTGAAGAGCCATGCTTTTCAGGGAACATGTCTTAACTGATGTTCTTCCACACTTGCATAATAAGAATGAGTAATGCTCACAAATTATTTTTCACCTCTTCCCAGAACTCAACCTTCTCTTTAAGCTTTCCCGAACAAACTAACTTTGATATTGGCAGACTTGACTTATTCATCTTAGTTATGGAGCAGCAAGTGTAAAGTCCTTCATTTGGAAAAAGAAATGCTTTTCATATTAAATTAATATATTAGTCATCTATATTTCCGCAGTAGGAAATGAAAGAAGTTACATTAAATTCACCCACTCAGGTCCTCTGTCAAAAGAAGAGAATCATTTCTTTATCGATTGACAACAGACAATGTCACAAAATATAGTAGCATTTACGTTTATACACACAGTAAGAAGTGATAGTGATTTATTTGTTTATTTTTATTTCTTTATTGCAACCAAAACTTGGGGTTAGATATCAAATACAAATACACGTACAAACAAACAGATAACAATAGTAGAAATAATGTAAACTAAGTCAAATATACTATAATTATATTATGTCCATAGACCGGTTTACAAACAAATGCATATGGCATACATACTGTTTAATAAAAAGTTGTCTTTGACAACTCGAAAGCTTGCTCGAGGCTTGTCTGACATAGCAACAAGCAATGCATGCAGACTGGATTATACAACAATTGTAGTTCATTCATTAACAACAGGTTAACGGAACACATCGTCACTAGGTCCCCAGGAAAGAAACATCCATGAATTTGAATATGTTGGTAAACCGATCCATTTGGAAAGGACAAAGATGATCACACTTGAGGGTCAAAAGGCATAATCATATAACAGTTCAAATATATTTATAACTTACCTTGAATTTCATGGATAACGCTCGTAAACATCCGTGGTTTACGCCTCGAAATGCGTTGGATTCTTTGAGAAGATTACGATTTAAATGAAGTGATATATCAGCTTGAAGAAAATCAGGAAAGTCGGCCATAACCTTTGAAATTAATAAGAAAGAAAAGGGTAGACGTTAAAGGTAACCTCACCTCAGAGAATTTAAATAAATTAAGATGCATTTACTTTATGAACGACTTCACATAGTACGTCACGTTATCAAGAAAATGGCGATTTACAGACATTATTACCCCGGTCATCGGTTTAACAATGGGCACTATCTCCACTCCCTGGGAGTATTTCTATGATATGGTCACCGTGAGGGTATATGGCAATTACTAACCCAAAGGCTTGCACCATCCTACCAGGCCCCCATTTCTATCCTGGGTAAAGCGTGATAAATGTAGATAAATGCCTTGCCAAAGGACATTTAATAGTGCAGTGACGGGGAACGAACCTACGACCTTTGCATTTCAAGTCAAATCACTCGACTACGACACTTCTATTTAGTGAGTAAGTGGTAGAATAAAAAATCGCAGAAAAAAGTTTAAAACTCTGCTTACCTCAGCGACTTCATGGAAGTCATTTCCGTTCATATAAACCCAAGCGTGTTTGAAATACTCCTTGAGTCGACTCTGTAACGGATTGGGTACATTGTGAAACTTGACGAACTCTTTGACCAGGTTGAGCTGCTGCTGATACCGGGATATACCGGCGTAGAGACGCTCAATGATCGCCGTCATGTTCCCGAAGATACACGCGAACATAAGGGCTGAAAAGAAATAGGAGAAGGAGAAGCAGTTCTTACAGGGTGTTTTGAAAATGAATAATAAATGTATTGTGGAACTAAATTTTCTGTCTATTTTGGGGGTGATTTCATAGTGTCTTTTCTTTTGCTGTGTTTTTTTTTTGGTTAGACGTATCAATTACACACTTTGTCGTGAACATAATGATCGGCAAGTTTAGATTGGACATGCTTGCTAGACCAAAGAAACAGTAAAACAAATAGGACACGTATGTTAATTCAAAGCTCTATCATGGGTTTGAAATCAAGTAAATCTGTGCAGGAGGAGGAGGAAGAGGTGGAGGAGGAGGAGGAGGAGGAGGAGGAGGGATGATGTAATCCGATCAGAAGTTTGGTTTTGTACTTACATCCTATAAGCATCATACAGATGGCGAATAATTTCTCTGCGTCCGTTGAGGGCGCTATATTACCGAACCCCACCGTGGTTAGTGTGGTTAACGTAAAGTATAGAGATGAGACGTATTTATCTTTTAATGACGGACCACCTGTCGATGCATTCTGTACAAGAGAAAACATATCGATAAATTCATGAAGAAAAAAACAAGCGTTTAATCAAACAAATGAAAAACATTGAAATAGATTACAAACCTATGTTAGCCAAATGAAAGTATGATGATAGTTACAGAGAAATACTTTGTCACCCAGATGAAATAGTTAATTTAGTAACTCTTTTCATGAAATCATTGTGACAATATAGTATATTCTTGATTTTTCATGTTCTCGGAACTTTATTGATGAGTCTACAGATTCATAGACATTGATCTCTAAAGTTCTGAAAAGCTATAAAGTTTGTCTATAAAAAAAAAGCATATTGACACAATCATTCCATGAAAAGAGATACGAAAAAGTTATTCCAAATTTATGGGCAATAGTGTACAAATATAAATGGGGAAAAAACACCAAGGATAAAGAGATTAGAGATTGGGATGAAGAGAGAGAGAGAGAGAGAGAGAGAGATCATAATTGTATATTCAATAACTTTGCGATGTTTAATAAACTAAACATGACTGTATATTCCCCATAGCCAGTGTTAGCAGAAAATAACGTTCTCATTGAGAGTTTGTGACATGAAACATGTAGCCAAGGTGTAATCCAGTCAAATACAGAACTCCGTTGAATACGTATCTCTAGACTGCACGTCCAGAAAGGGTGTTAGATAATATCTTACCCAGGGCATAATAAACAAGACTAATTTAATGGCGCATGAAATATCAGAACGGTGTAATGCCAACCCGCTAGCTAGGATTAGTCTTAATTCATAGACCTGTTAAGTGTAAATGTCACCCTCCCATGAGAAGATGGATATGAGTCGTGGGAAAGCTACAAATTGAATGCCTCCGAGCAACTAACACCTTCAGAGAGAGAGGAGAGAGAGAGAGAGAGAGAGAGAGAGAGAGAGAGAGAGAGAGAGAGAGAGAGAGGAGTAGACAGGGAGACGGACAGAGAGACGGACAGAGAGACAGGCAGAGACATAGACACAGACAGGGAGGCAGACAGAGAGACCGGCAGAGACAGTTCATTTTAGTTCATTTATAAACAGAGAGACAGGCACAGAGAGAGAGAGAGAGAGAGAGACAGAGAGAGACGGACAGAGAGACAAAGACAGAGAAACAATATAGAGAGGAAACATGTCCGGTACATAATATTATGTCTGCTTCAAATCTAGTTATACAGTACAAATATCTCCCCTCCATTTATAATCAGAATCGTAATAAAAATACAAGGCTAACTACTTACTTCTCTCAAATAGTCTTTTTTTTTAATATACCAAATTACATACGAGTTGTAGTTTCCATACCAGCTATAAACAGTATATATTTGGGAAAGGGATATACACTATGAACACGACGGACAAAGAAAAAGGACATACAGTTCCTCATTCTACCCTCAACAATTGCTGTGGTAGACAAAGGAACATCCTTGACTGCTATTATGTAAAAATGTGTAGAACAGGTGTCACATGCATATTCATCTTTTCTACACATTTTTACATAATAACAGTGAAGGGATGTTCCTTTGTCTACCACAGCAATTGTTGAGGGTAGAGTGAGGAACTGTATATTTTGTCCTCTTACTTTGTCCGTCATATTCAAAGGATATACAATCAAAACGTCGTGGCCTATTCGCAAAGGGAACATGTGACACTAGTTTTATTCAAATGAACTTCGTCTACATGCATTGCCGTTCCCTTCCATATGAGTCAGTATATCAGCAATATGTTGTTTGTTCTTAACATTTAGCAATTTATTTGCATCATCCACCGTGAGTGAGGAGAAACGACTTAGAGTGGTCCTTTAATGAATATATGGGACAAGAAATCCGGCAAGAAATAAGAAGGAACATGCGTTAATTAATTTCATTCGTGTTACAACCACGTGATATAGAACCGACCAATAGGAGCCAAGCAGGGCAATAGTACCCTGGGAGGTGTTAGAATTTAATAACTGCTTTACGCTTTAGTCACTCCCCCCAGGCTCAGACTGTGTGAATGTGTTATTACAGGGAGTCTCAGCATGGGTGCATTCACACTGTCATTCTCTATAGTGGTTGAATGTTTTAACAAGCATGCTAGTCATCTCGGCAGTCATGACGTACCTGCCTTTTCCTCGTCATATTTTATTATCACACCTGTTTCATTTCTTGCACATTTGAATTTAAAGAATGACCTGAGGAAACATGCAGGACATTTTCCCTGTCATCTTCCTCCTTAATTCTAGCAGGAAAATGCACAAGCATGCAATGTAGAATTGATGAAAATAACTAAGACGTTTCTAAGTATTAAAATGGAATAGTATTGCGGATATTGTGATAGTAAGTACAGTACTTCAAGAACAAAGGTCAACTTTGAAAATGGACTTTTTGCCATTTTCTATACTACTGTGTATATACTTTGTGAATGTCATAAGAATACCTGAATTTGCTCTCCATGTTTTTTTTATAAATAATATTTAGTCGAAAATTGATTATTATATTTCATGAAATATGGCTTACCGTATACGGAGTAAATAAATCTTGCGCTAACATGTCTAGCCAGCCATACTGTATTTCTGGTCTTTGTTGTTCCCCGATAGCGTACCATATACAAGCCATCCAATGAGAGACCAGGGTGAAGGCACACATGAGTAGGCACACGACGGCTGGAGCAAACTGAGAATACTGATCTAGACGACGAGCAACACGAAGTAATCTCAGCAATCGAGCTGTCTTTAATAAACTCATTGCTGACGTCGTTTTCTGTAGTATAGGTAAGAGTTTTAATAGTAAGTATTAAGGAAAACTGTCATTATCACCATGACGTCATCATTATCATCATCATCATCATCATCGTCATCATTATCATCATTATCATCATAGCCACCATCAACTAACTGAGAATACTGGTCTAACGAATGAGCAGACTTTAAATAATCACATCAATCTGTATAAACTCATTGCAGACGTAGTTTTCTGTACTATGGATTAGAAAGAGTAAATTGTATCTTCACTATAAACGATAGCATCACTTTCCGCAATAAAAATCGACATGATCATTATCATCACTACCATGACCACCACTACAATTACCGTTTCTCTCATTCTCCTAACCAGCAACCTCACTATATCAGTATAATCATGCATGATAATCGTTACCACCATCATCATCATCATCTTTATCAATGTCGGCATCTTCATCGTCATTCAACATGACTGTACCCATAGGCCTTATAATCAAATCTTGATTAAGATAGATTGTATGCATCGTTTCGGACTATTCAATAAACATATCATGGTTTTGAAAATTTGGAAATAATTGTAGAAAGAACGAAAGGCCGTTTAGGAGACAGACTGACCTCATCCGCTGCCACGGAGAAGAGAAGGAGATCGAACGGGATGGCGGCCATGACGTCGATCACGAACCATCCCTTCAGATAATGCTTGGCTATCTTCGACGGGTTTGAGATGACTTCACCCAGGGAGTCGTCGAGGAAGGTGGTTCTGAAGTTGATGAAGATATCGACGATGAACATGACGTCGACCACCATGTCGATGAATACCAAGGGTTGGGTGTAACTCTGTGAGAGACTGTCGCCGTCTCGTGTATCAGCATCCTTGTTAAGCTTGGCCTGCAGGAGATGGAGGGAAGAAAGAGGAGAAGGAGAGGCAGGGAGAGAGAGAGAGAGAGAGAGAGAGAGAGAGAGACAGAGAGAGAGACAGACAGACAGAGTGAGAGACAGAGAAGGAGTGAGAGACAGAGAAAAGGAAACGAGAGAGGAAACGGGAAGTTTGCTAACATATTCAAATTGTATACATACTCGTTAAACAAAGGTTATCCTTGTCTACTCGAAAGCTCTTCGAGGTTTGCCCGACACAGCAACAACAATGTATGCATTACGTTTCAAAGAGAGTGTCACGCACTGTTGGTTTACTGTATAAGTTAAAACATTATGTGCCTTTGAATATTCTATATATGCTATACAATTCCTTGATTCTTCCTTACATGTCTTATTGCAATATACTGTGGGCAGACTCAAAAGTATATACTGATAAAATGCTACTTTTACAAAAGAAAGCGATTCGTGTGTGTACCAATGCTGGATATCGCGA